AAGTTTCGAGAAAAACGTAAACTACTAAGACATTAGCAATCGGTTCTCTCTTGATTGTTTCTATTGATATTGTCATCATCTTTGTTACTCGCATCTGGTCACCGTCCTTTTTTGCTTACTCACTGTCCGCCGCAATGATCTAGTGGCTTCGGTTTTTGTAACTGTTACAACCTGGTTAATAAAGTGGAGTACAATGATGGAGATCCTTTCTGAAAATAAGGAGAGTTTATTTCTATCAACTTTGTCAAAGATGTCTTTTCAACAGGATGGAGCATCCGCACACACGACATTTTTCGTGATCAACTGAATCCAAAGTATCCAAATTCAACTCCAGTGAATTTTTCCCTTCCGCGTGTTATGTAAAAAGAAAACTATACCATCCCAACCCGGATAAATTGTGTGAGTTGAAAACTCGGATCCGATGTGTGTGTGTGTGTGTGCGTGTGTCTATGTAGACACATTCCACTATCTATTCTTGAAGGAGTTCAACATTCTTTTGTTCGGTGGTTGCCTATTTGCTTCGTAAAAGACGGTAGCATTTTGCTCATCTAATGCAGTATCAAAGACGATGCCAATCTGAACTGGAGAACGACATACGGGTCATTTTTAGAGTATAATTGTTTTTTTTTAAACTAAATAACAGATCTTAGGTTGACTCTTTTTATTAATGTTAATATGATTATTAATAGTAGTATTTCATCAGGAGTGGAAACAGTTTCCAGTGTGCAAGGTGTAGGTAATGGGCAATTGTGAAATTTGAGCCAGTGGGAAATTCCAGAGGACCACTAGGAACTAAAACCAGACTGAGATGAACAATTTCATATTAGCGCTCTGACTTGACATTGAATACATATTGGTCTTATGCCTTCATGTAAGACTGAATGCATCACTGCATTACCAAACACAAGTAATATCAGGTTTACTTGTGCCCCGAGTGAGATACTAGTAAATGCCCTCAGAGATGCGTAAACTTTAGCCATGCTGCGTCAGTGAGGACAAGGAGACTGGTGTGTGTACACACACACACATGCAGACAAACATACGGTGAAATATCCGTTAACTTGTGATCCTTTCCTCTGAGTCATTTGATTGTAAAACCTGCCTTAAGAAAGGTTACCCACGGTAACCGAAACGTCGACCAATATAATTCCCTACTGACATCGCTGTGTTATTAACACTGTAACATTAACATTCACAATAAAACAACACATGGCGCATCGATTTTTCGATACACTCCCAACATCATTTGGTCATGATGTGGTAAAAATTGGAATACCATTGATCGAAAAAACTCTGGACCATTTATCACAGTGCTTGTCCAAAAGCCGGCAGAAACATTCGGCTTTCCTAGCGGTTGCATCTGCGAGAAATTAATTGGTGACTTACCATTTCTCAATTCCATGGGATTTGGAAATTGCCGCTGTTCTAGTGTTAATTTAGAGTATCTCATAGCCATCTGAGGAATAAACAGAATTTATATGGGTCCTTGTACGACCTTGGGTGAATACCATGATTTTAGCCTTTTCACGGTAAATTATACAGGTGAGAAATGTGCCTCTAAGTGAGAAACAAAGTTCATGGATAAGGCCTACAGATATGTAACAATGACGATTTTATCCGACCTGACTACTTATGAGTAGTCGGTTTCAAAATGAGATTATCTGAGCATGGTCATGTATGCAACGCAACTTAGGTTGCAGCAACAAAGATTCAGTGTGTAGAATAACCATACGCTACACATCATACGAAACCCAGCTTTTTAGCATGTAGGTTGCGCAGAAAACAGAATTTGACCTAGGAAACGTACTGAAAACGGTTAGATAGGTTGAATCCATTGCCACATCATGGCCGGCCGAACGAGCAACGCAGAAATAGCTACCCGCGTCTGAGGGCTACATTGCAAAAAAAAGAAGAGAAAGCAGTTGAGAGGATATGCACAATGCTAAACGATTTCTAATTTATTTTACACTTAAAACTAATACGACTTCGTCATATGTCATCACATGTATCTGTGGGAAAACTTCCATATCATATGAATAGATCTTGATAATTGACGGCAGTATCTTCACAAACAGCATAAGTGCTCGATACGGAAGAACAAATGTGCAACAATATGATCAATAGAAGATTGACTGGAAAATGCCTTTCAGATAAAAACCCTGAATTTCTAATTAAATTTAAAATGTAAGGGAAAATGTATTTCTACTTCCTTTCGTATTTATTGAGTATACAAATATACAGTCAACTTTCAGGAAAGGGGCCGCAACCATACAAAGGCTGTCTGGGGAAAATACAGAAATGGGAGAGGTGGGGAGCGATTGAGTGGTTCACCATTTTGGGGAGGGGGGCTTTACCACTTGACTACCGCCACCTAGCAGAATATCAATAAATATAGCCCGAATATATTTGATCTTGGAGCTACGCCGAAAAATTTTGAAGAATGTGAGCATTTTTGGAAATATGCCACCACGACTTATGACGAGGAGTTCAATATTT